CCTCCGGATCTGTAAATGTGGAATTAATTGTAACACCACTGATGAGATCATCAGGCATTAACATTTAAAAATGACTCCTGTTTGTCTGCATTGAACTGCAGGGCAGTTGGAGACTATTCGCTATTCTTTTATTCAGTTTATTTCAGTCTTTTCCCGCCTTTTCCTTAGGATATACATTTAAGTTATAATTTTCATCATATCAATTTTCAGCGTCTAAGAAAGTACAAGCACACAAAGGGCTGTTTTTGTTACTACATTATTCACTCATCGCTGGAAAACAACACAAGTGTTTTTCAGTTAATGGTAGGTGGTTGTTTCTTTAAGTCCCCCAGCTGAATATCTGTCTGGGAGGAGAAACACCTCGTTGGAATTTCTTGACCTAAAGTACAAAAGACTTACTGTACTTTAGGGACAATGCTGTAGGATACTTAAAAGAACAATTCCCTGAAAAATGAGACTAACAAAAATATTGCCATCGTACTCACCCTCATGTCGTTCCAAACGTCTATGACTTTCTTTCTTCTGTAAATTATGATAAATGTTTAGCAGAATGTCCAAGCTGCTCTTTTCCATACGATGAAAGTGAATGGTGTACAAAAGCAGCACACTACTGTAGTACTGCCCGCCACTGTCAGAAATTTGGGAGTTTTATGATGGTATGAATCTGATGTCGAATCATGAAAATATAGTCCAGCAGGGTTTATTGTTTAAATAGGGGTCCTTTGTATGTGTCTCTGTAATATGTTATATCAGTTTCATTCTTGTTCACACAGGAGTGCATGATTGACGAGGATTGTGGGGACAACAGCTTCTGCCTCTACGAGATCATCACCTCCAAATGCGTCCCGTGCCAGATGACTAATATGGTCTGTGCTCACCTTTTGTTAATAAAAAGAAAAAACAAATTATACATATGGTCATGGTCAAGATTACATACACCTTGTAAAAATCTGCAAAATTATAATTATTTGAACAAAATAAGAAGGATCATACAAAATGCATGTTATTTTTTATTTAATACCATCCTAAATAAGATATTTTACATAAGATGTCGATAAATTTATAAATAATGACCTCGTTTAAAAGTTTACATACCCTTGATTCTTAATACTGTGTTGTTACCTTGTGATGGTTGTTCTTGAGTCCCTTGTTTGTCCTGAGCAGTTAAACTGCCCAATGTTTTTGTATGATTTTGAGATCCATCTTTTCACACAGAAGAAAATTGATTAACTCAAATACAACTATAATTTAAAAAAGTGAAACACGATGCATTAAAGGAGTAGTTCACTTTAAAAAAAAAAAAAAAAAAACTTTTGCTGATAATTTACTCACCGCCAAGTCATCCAAGATGTCCATGTCTTTCTTTCTTCAGTCGAAAAGAAATTACGATTTTTTGATGAAAACATTCCAGGATTTTCTCCATATAATGAACTTCATTGGGAACCAAACGGTTCAAGGTCCAAATGAGAGTTTCAGTTCAGCTTCAAAGGGCTTTAAACGACACCAGACTATGAATAAGGGTCTTATCAAGAACCCTTCGTGTCATGACTCGAAAAAAAGATTTGTTCATTTTGATGGACAAGTTTGAACAGGAGAGTCACAAATGCTCATCACAGAACAGAGCAAGGCGAGCATTTGTGCTCATAAAACTTAGTTTTTTATTTATTTTTTAAATGACCGATCGTTTCGCTTGATAAGACCCTTATTCATCGTCTGGTGTCGTTTAAAGCTATTTGAAGCTGATATATGAAGCTGATATAAGCTGTTTAAAGCCCTTTGAAGCTTTGAATATATATATATATATATATATATACACAAACGTTTTGTTCAAATATATTATTTACTTGTAGGAGTGCACCAAGGATGTGGAGTGTTGTGGAGATCAGCTGTGTGTGTGGGGTATTTGTGCTCAGAACAGAACCAAAGGACAGTCTGGAACAATCTGCCAGTACCAGAGCGACTGCAGTCCTCAACACTGCTGTGCCTTTCACAAAGGTTGTGTAATCTTTCTATAGATTATTTCAGTTTGTAAGTAAGTTGTAATAAAGTGTTTTAGGAATTTAAAGTCTGGGACAATCGTAAAAATAAATAAATGAATAAAATGCATTTCAAAAGTAGTAAAAATAAATGATAAAGACATGAGGAAAAGTTTTAACCATTAATAAAAATCAAAAGGGCCTATATAAGCAACTCTGTTAGATAAGCAGTTGGTTATATTGTAAAACATCTGAAAAATATCCTGTTTCCCTGGGCCTCCCGGTCAGAAGATTTCTCCTCAAATTACTAAATAATTGTTTCCTTATGAATTTACAATTGAACCTCTTGCTCTTCACTCAGTTCAGTGTTCCTCGGTTGTCTTACTGTTGCCAAATATGCATTAATCACACAAGATGCAAACTAACAACATTTGCTGTGGTTTTGACACATCACCTCATTTCCTGAGTTCTGGAGTCCACCTAATCTTTATCTCCGTAGTCTCTCTATGTCCCTCCCTCTTGTTTTTAATATTTCTCGTTTTTTCCTCTCCAGCCCTGCTCTTCCCAGTGTGCCGCCCCAAGCCACAGGAAGGCCAAGGCTGCCCCAGCCACCCTAACCAGTTGATGGAGTTACTACTGTGGGACGAGGAGGGTCCACGGGAGCACTGCCCCTGTGCTGCAGGCCTGCACTGCCAGCCTCTCGAGTGAGACCGCAATCTCATCACAATCATTCATTGCATGTGTCTATTTGGTGTGTTGCACACAGCTAAGCAGGTTTGGCCTTATTTGTTTAGACATTTTTATTCTTTATAATTGTAATCTTGCCAGCCAATCAGATTGCAGCTTGTAGGTAAGGGAAAGAATATATATATATAATACATATACACTTGTACATACTCATATGAGTGTGTGTGTGTGTATATATATATACACACTATTTGTGTGTGTATTAATGCTATTATTATAGTATTAATGTCAAATCGATTAATCACATCTAACAAAAGTTTGTTTATATAAAATGTGTATGTTTGTGTATATGAAGATTTCAGATGCAAAAGCCTCTAAATGCCATTTGAAATTTTCTTCTAAAATGACCATTTTTATCAAGCTTGTATATTTAAGTTCAGTAATTTCACTTAAATGACAATTAATAGGTAATCTTCATTGCAATTTAAGTGAAATTACTGAACTTAAATATACAAGCTTGATAAAAATGACCATTTTAGAAGAAAATTTCAAATGGCACTTAGAGGCTTTTGCATCTGAACTCTTCATATATATATATATATATATATATATATATATATATACTACACACACACACACATATATATATATAGTATTTACAAGTGTATATGTATTTATATTTTTTATTATATATATATATATGTGTGTGTGTATAGTGTATATATATATATATATATATATATATATACACACACACTTTTTTTATAAACAAACTTTTGTTAGATGTGATTAATCGATTTGATAGCACTAATACACACAGAAACAGTGCGTGTGTGTGTGTGTGTATGTATATATATATATATATATATAATGCTCATCAGGCCTGCATTGATTTGATCCAAAATAAAGAATAAAAACATTAATATTGTGAAATATTATAATATAATTTTAATTTTAAAAATGAATATTATAATTTTAAGAATTTTAAAATATTATAATATATATAATATGAATATAATTTATTCCTGTGATGCAGAGCTGGATTTTCAGCATCACTACTCTAAGTCTTCAGTTTATAGGCTTGATAGGCATCAAGCCTATAAACTGAAGACAAGCCTATAAACTGAAGACTGGAGTAGTGATGCTGAAAATCCATATATAAATAAACAAAAAAAAAACTCACATTTATCTCTTTTATTATTACAGGAAAAGATCAGTGTGTGTAGATGAGAGGAAATCTTCTGGTCAAAGAAATGTGGACTGATCACTCCCACAGAAACTGGGTATTTGTCAGTAATATATACATCACATGAAATTACAAAGAAATGTGTTTTCAAAAATTGTAATATTTTGATAGAGAATGAAAGTATTCTGAATATGTTGATATTATATTTCTTCCTAATATGATTTCTGGTTGACTTTTTAATGTATTATTTTGAAAAGCAAATGTTTAAAAAAAAAAAAAATGCAACATAACTAGTTGAAATATGAACAGCAGATGGCAGTGTTGAATTGTGTATATTAATAAGCTTGAGAATGTCAAGAACACTTAAAGGCTTAGTTCACCCCAAAATGAAAATTAAGTCATTAATTACTCACCCCCATGCTGTACCAACCCCGTAAGACCTTCGTTCGTCTTCGGAACACAAATGAAGATATTTTTGATTAAATTTGAGAGCCGAATAACTACCACATAGGCTCTTAAGGGACTGGCTCTTGACGGCCCAGAAAGTCAATGAAGAAAATGTTTAAATATTCCATGTGACTACAGTGGCTCAACTATAAGTTTATCAAGCGACGAGAATACTTTTTGTGCGAAAAAACAAACAAAAATAACGACTTTATTCGACTATTCCTTTTCTTCCTTGTTGGCCTGAAACGAGACTTCCATACGATTTCCACGACGCATGCGCGAGAACTGAACTGAAGTAGTGTAATGAGATCGCAATTCTCGCGCATGCGTCGTGGAAATCGTATGGAAGTCTCGTTTCAGGACAACAAGGAAGAAAAGGAATCTTACGGGGTTGGTACAGCATGGGGGTGAGTAATTAATGACTTAATTTTCATTTTTGGGTGAACTAACCCTTTAAAATTGATTCATTTACTGGCTTTTCACACAAATGTGAATCTTTCAGAGGGGCTTAAATGTTTCACAAGCCATCTCATTAACTATTAGAAAACTTGTAAAACAACAACAGATATCTACATGACAGATTCTGTTTCTTTATATAACAATATTTTACTATTTAGGGTAGCAAGTTATGTGTAAGTTAAGTTATATTAAATCCTAGTTATGTTCTTTACAGCTTAAAAACAGTAACACCCAATGATGAATCATTAAACTGAAAAATAAGTTTATTCTTTATTTCTTTTGGTTTACAAACGAAAGGCACCCATTGATTTTGAACCCTCCACTGACTTTTTAATGTGGCAATTGCAATTTCTCAATAAACATTTTAGATCATTACAGGATATTAAACAAAAACGGTACATATAAATAAGGCAGACAAAATGGAAAGAAAGGGAAACAAACTACATTTGTCCAGTCAAGGCCTGACATCGACTTGATCTTACATTTTATAATGACCAATGAAGAAAATTACATTACCACCTTTATAAAATGCTGTGATCTGTGACAAAAATACCAATGATGCCTAATTTTAATCATCACAAAGGAAACTACAAAGATAAGTTGACTACTGTACATTGCAATATATGTTACCCTATTTCGGGATAAACAAAAATACTCTTGATGAGACCCTGCATACACAGAACCATATTCAAACTCACTATTCCACTCAAACTCCCACAAAAAAATATGGATCCTGACAGAAGCGCTGAAATGAAGGCAACAATCATTCTTATCAGTTCTTTAAACCGTTAATAGAAAAGACAATAGTTAATCTATAATCCACACAGAAACAAGCCATCATTCCCTGGTATTAAATTAAGCTGTGCAAAGAGTTCTTGACATTAATTGTGATCCGAAGCACGAGTGACCGTAAAAGCAGCCTTTACATTTCTTCTTTTCACGTCATAAACAAACAACCACTTCCTATTTATTTCAAACGTGGAAAATACTTGATAGCGGACAATGTTAAATTACAGTGTTTTATCTAAATAGAAGTACAGAAATGGTTTAGAAAACATACATCCGTCAGCTTTCACATTACTTCAACATTCAGACAGGTCACAGATTGAATCGGGTGAAGAAAGGAAAGGAAAACACTTAAATTAATCCAGTTAAAATATGAACCGCCACCCTCTGATATGGAATAGTACGTAAAGAAATTAGCACATGAGAGTTTTGAAACCTTTCAACATATTCGGTTTTCTCAGGCTGCTTTAGAGATTTATGCAAAAGGTAATGTGTTTTATGTACAAAAGTCCATTACCTGAACACTAAGTTATGGCAAGAAACGATAATCGCGCTTTATTCATAAAACTCGAGCTTCAATTCTTCGTCGCAAATTCCTACTGCTCATGTTTATTAATGAAGCTCATTATTCATAAAAGGCAACAGGTTTAAGCGTGTGAAAACCCCATTTCTTTTTAGGGAAACAGACAAGCCTGATTGATTAAAAGCGACTGATTGCTTTCACAAAAACAAGAGACCCCAACCTAAGTTCAACTAGCACAAATAAATATATATGAAGATGACTAAAGAAAAGAGTGTGAAGACACAAGCAAGACGCTCAAGATGCTAATTTGGTGACACGTCAATTCCCTTTGTCTCTAAGAGGGTGAGAGGAATTGGAAAGTAGTAAGGCAAAAGAGATGAATCTAACAAAGACACTGGGCACATGATGAAGATCATTTTTGAACTGCAGGCACAGAGCTGAGTCTCATGTTTTTTCTCATTGTGCTTCGTTGATTACAGTTAGAAAAGGGGCCACTGGCGCCAACAAGTATGAGCAAGTATGTAAACCATAATAATCAAGCATCGCCCACAACCTGTTTGCGTACAGGTACAAGTAAGTGCTCAAACGCGTTCGGCACGAAGCAGTCGCTCTCGTTATGCTGAGAGAGCTTCTTAGACCTCGAGCCATGAAAATTCATGCTTTCTACATAGCAGTTGAGTGCACTTGCACCCTGTGATGCACTTGCGCAGGAGGGGAGGATAGCGGATACTATGCCCGAACGCTTGACCCTCAGAGTTCAGAGTGTCACAAAGCAAAAGTGTGTGCATAGCTGTCGGGAGATAAAGAGGGGGGAGAGGGGAAGGGGGGAGCTGGGCTGGATTCAATATCTCATGGTGCTGGAAGCTCTGAAATAGGAGAGGAACTTGAAGCACAAGCTGACGACGAAGTACCAGATGTTTCTGGCCATCTGTGAACGGGCGATGAAGATGCGCCAGATCAAAACTACCAAGATGGTGTTGAAAGTATAGCGAATGTTCCGGAGCCTACGAGAAAAGAAAAGAAATTTTTTAAAAAATTTACAAAAAGGAAAATAATCCATTTAATAATAACTTATATATACATATTATCACATATTTAAATTTCATATTAGCGGCATCTCTACTTAATTTATACTTGACAAGTCGATAATTATTTTTACTTCATGGCTGATATTAAATGATACTATTCTGTATGGATGTCACGGTACCAAAATTCCAGTAGTCGGTACCGATGTCATTAAAATGTTACGGTGACCAATTTCGGTACCACAAAATTTATTTACCTATTTGAAAAAAATAAATAAATAAATTCTTAAAATATTTAAATTTAAATATTAATTAAAAATTAATCAAAATATTAAAAAAATTAAATGTTAAATTCAATTCCATTACTTTATTATTTATGATGGTGAATTTATGAAAAGATTGAAGGCTACATGCTGTTTAAACGAAAATATTGATGAGATAATAAGATTGATGAAAAATAAGCAACCTTCTATGCACAGTTGCACACAATATTATTATTAGTAGTAGTATTTTTAATTAACGAAGACATAGTTAAATCTAGTATTGTACAGTAGCCTAATATAATTATTTCTGTCAATTTCTTTAAGTTAAACCAAAGTTTCTGAGTTTTTCCGATTTTCTGTGCTTGTATGATATGACGATAGTTTCTCAAATGAAACGGTAAAATGCTCATGAAGCGACTCTCGGAATTATGAATCATGTCATCATATCGTGAGGCAGCAGAGACTGAAAACAGCGCCAACGTCACTCGTGCTTCAGTGCGTCTGTGTGAGGTAACGTTTAATGAAACCGCGCGTCTGCACTGTTCACTCACACAGAGACAAGCAGAACATGCAGGGTTCATATTTAAATAGTCAGCGCTTTCATGAAGAGGACGCAACTTCACGCCCTTTGTGCATGCATGCGCATCCAGAACCGGGTTTGACTGGGTATTTAGTACCACCGGGACTTGGTACCGTGACGTTTAAAAATTTTTAGTACCGACTTGGTACCGAAGTACCGAATATTTTGACAACACTAGATGCACCGATATGAAAATTTTGGCCGATACAGATAACCGATGATTCTTTATATTTGAAAGTCGATAACCGATATATAGACCGATAAATCTCAATCCATATTTTTATTTTATTTTTGAGAGCCTGATTACAAAAACAAAGTATCACCGTTAAAATCAAAGTCCCAAGCACACAGTTATTAATAATGTTCTCATTATAATTTTATGTAGCCTATATGACAAACTTCAGCTGCACATCATTATGAACAGTCCGCATTGTGTCTCAGCTAAGGGAAATAATCCATTATTTAATCAGCTTTAGTATATCAGTCTAACATCCTTATGGGTCCGATAAAAATAACATTAAAAATGAACACAATACCGATATGGTGGCCGATATTTCGTGCATCCCTATTATTTCGTCTAAATAGATTAAAGAAAACATTAAAAACTAATGTTCTAAAGCATCAAAACAAATATGCACTTATTTTGAGATTTGCCGAATCCATTCAGTTTAGATTCTATTTAACAGTTTTTTTTTAAGTGCGCATTAGGCCATGTTCAGATCTCCAGCAGAAATCAGGGCCCGTATTCATAAAGATTCGAAGAATCCTCTCAGAAAACTCTTAATTTAGCTTAAAAACTTTTACATAGGAGTCTTCGCTTAAGAGCGATTCGGGACTGATCTAGAGAGCAACTCTGAGTAACATCTTAATGAGGAGGCGGGGCTGACCCCATTGCCATGTATGACGCAATCTTTTGAAGACTGTGATTGGTTGGTTGTCCAAGAAGGGAAAAAAAGAGTGATTTTTAACTATAGCATCTTATTAACTCACTGTCATCCATTGTCTGCAACACATTTTCTCCTCTGCTAAAGAAACTCTTAAAGGGTTAGTTCACCCAAAAATGAAAATTAAGTCATTAATTACTCACCCCCATGCTGTACCAACCCCGTAAGACCTTCGTTCGTCTTCGGAACACAAATGAAGATATTTTTGATTAAATTTGAGAGCTGTATAACTACCACATTGGCTCCTAAGGGACTGCCTCTTGACGGCCCAAAAAGTCAATGAAGAAAATGTTTAAATATCCCAAGTGACTACCGTGGCTCAACTATATGTTTATCAAGCGACGCGAATACTTTTTGTGCGAAAAAACAAACAAAAATAACGAGTTTATTCGACTATTTTTTTCTTCCTTGTAGGCCAGAACGAGACTTCCTTATAGATTTCCACGACGCATGCGCGAGATTTGCGATCTGCGTACACAGCTTACACTACTTCAGATCGCAAATCTCGCGCATGCGTCGTGGAAATCTATAAGGAAGTCTCGTTCTGGCCTACAAGGAAGAAAAAAATAGTCGAATAAACTCGTTATTTTTGTTTGTTTTTTCGCACAAAAAGTATTCGCGTCGCTTGGTAAACATATAGTTGAGCCACGGTAGTCACTTGGGATATTTAAACATTTTCTTCATTGACTTTTTGGGCCGTCAAGAGGCAGTCCCTTAGGAGCCAATGTGGTAGTTATACAGCTCTCAAATTTAATCAAAAATATCTTCATTTGTGTTCCGAAGACGAACGAAGGTCTTACGGGGTTGGTACAGCATGGGGGTGAGTAATTAATGACTTAATTTTCATTTTTGGGTGAACTAACCCTTTAAGCCTCTTAAAAGTCCTCGTCCGTACTCATAACAATTTTGACCTTAAGACCTCTTTTAAGGGTAAAAGAGGATAAACCCATTTTTTTCCCCATTCATTTACAATAGAGTTCAATGCTCGACATTTGGCAATGCGACAAAATTGAGCAGCTGCGTTTGACAGTGCAGCAATTACTATTTCAGTGTGACTGTTGCTCTAGATAATAGGTAACCTTGAGAACTTCAATACATACTTGTTCAAGTGTTTGCGTGCCGCTGGGAGTCCTGACAACTCTTCGTTGAGAACATACTTCTTAGTGCCCATGCAGTAATTCTCCATGTATTCTGCCCAGTGTAGCTGCCGGACGTCAAAGTTAAATACCTGAGCACAAAAACAACATTCAAGCATTGATAAAAGTCAGAAAGGAATTTGAAAGAATATTTCATTCACAATATAATTTTAACCGATGTAAATCATGATTCAGAGTCACACAGATGAGACTGTGTGAGTGTATTAATGGTACATATACAAACACACCTTCTTGTCCTCAGCTCCCATCTGGTTCATGAGCATGGTGACGTTGTCCGTGTTCCACACCCACGAGTGGCTAGTAAAGTACTCCAGCACCATCATGGCCTTGTGCAACCGAGTGATTGTCTTCATCATCCTGCGTCGCCACGGAAACAACACAGGGAACGAGTGGGAGAAAAGGAGAAATAGCTTCAGATGAGGATTGAAGTGGGCTGGATGTGGAGTTTAACCCTGTAAGGGCACTTACAATTTAACAAGAGCAGATGGTGACAAACTACAAAAGTAGTTTTAAGAAACCACAGCTTGTATATGACTTAATCTGGATGGTTTAGCAATAGCAAAATATTTCATTCCATGCAATGCTTTATTAAATAATAAAATGTAGGTTATCAGAGAAGCCCATTTCTGCCCCCTGAGTAAAAAATTAAACTGGTAACTCAAATAAAGTTAAAAATATGAAATATTTACATGGTTAAATATAAAGCTATAATTAAAGTTGCAATTATATGAGATCAAGTCACGTTGTCAATTATAGTCATGAGAAAAATTAGATTTTTTTACTAGGAGGAATAAAAGAGGCTTCCATAGGTTAGCTTGGCCAAATAAATAGAGACGTAAATAAAATAAAAAAACAAACCATGGACCCCCGAAATGAACCTTTGCAAAAATAAAACATTAATACTTTTGCGTGCGCATGAGAAACTTTTTTATGTGCTCACAAAAAACTGTTCACATGTTTCCACAGAATTTTTTGTGTGGCCACGCCATTTAATTTCTGGTTATATGTATAGGCTACTACATAACCCATTTCCTTTGTGTGTAACTGTCATCATACTATGAAGAAAATAAGAGCATGGATGTGCATGGAATTAATAGAGATTTATTGAACACAAAATATAACTTTCATTAGGACAGTAACTCTAATATCAAGTCCTTATGTCCTCTTTCATGCATCCTCTGTGGTGGCCGAGAAACGACGCCACGAAATGGGCTGATGGCTTAATACTGCTGTGTGCATCGTCCTATTTGCCAGATTCAAGGGTAGATAAAATAAGATTGGTACACTGAAAAGAGCTCAAAATTTGGCTTTCATTAATGAAGTAGATCTAATTTCATGGCCTTTTTTTCCAGTTGAACAAATTGAACTCTGTGGCGGCCGAGAAACTACACTGATGTAGTGATGTAGCAATAGAGCAATGATTTATGAACCAGTACGTAAAGCATACAGGACAATGCACAAATTTAACTCTGTGGCGGCCGAGAAACCACACTGTGAAATAGGCTGAAAAGATAGTTAGTGTAAAAAGTGCAAATTTGAGTATCCAAAAGTCTGTATATTTTTATTTTTATTTTTGCAAAGGTCCTGGGGTTCTGTAAAAAACAAAAAAACAAAATGAAGACTTTCTTTGACCCATTCATCCTGTAGTTTATTTGATTCCGGTTAGTTCCCACTGCAACACTTTCAAACCACAATCCTCTGGCAAACACAACTGTGGATTCCCATTATGTTTTGGTTGAGCAAAGATCACACGGTTAAAAGACACTGAAGGATCTTGAAGGGCACCTGGGCGCATTTGTGTACTGGAGACTGTAATAGATGTAGACCAAATTGTATCAGGCTTTATCTGACAAAGCACTGTTGGAATTGGAAATGGAAATGTCCAGAAACGCCCAGTTTCCCATAAAGATCGGTTGGATAGGGGATGACGGCATGCATCGTATTAGAACAGCAACTTTTAAAAATCTCCAGATACCAAACACACCTACTCACTGCAACTTAAAAGCGTTGTTGCACGGACGGATCAAATATCCAATTATTATTGGATATTTGATCCATATGCATCCATCTTATTTTTGATGTAAAATTAAAAGGACAGATCCTCGTAATTATATTTTAGAGGATTAAACTAGGGATTTTCAAAGCTTTTGGAGCCAAGGTCCCCCTTTGCGAATGACCGCCATTTTAATAGACAGGCAGCTTTATGTTTTTTGTAGTAGTTAAAGGCAAGACACGGCAGGCAAAAACATAGTTTTTTTTTTTTCACTGGTCAATTTTGAGATTTTGGGATATCTGTCTTGAATAATATGTCTTCTTTCAGACTTGTGGTGAAAAAAAGTCTGAAATACACATACAAGTCTTTATTTTACTACACTTTGTCTGTTTGCGTCTGTAGATTTCTCATAAATTCTTCAAAAGTTGTCATCCTGCTGCTCGGTGATCGCGATCTGCACCCTATCACAAACACAGTTAGAAAGCTCTCTTTCTCCTGTACAACGCTGTCGGATCCAAATATGGTCATTTCCTTTTTATCAGCAACCAATCGTGAAAGTAAAAGGGGGCATTTAACTCTAAATGTGTGATCTCATAGGCTGATGCTAAATCTTTAAATCCAGTTTTCTTAAAATGACTTTTCTCCGAAAGTCCGAAATCTCCACTTCAGTAGCACCTATATACACACCAAACTTTCCAGTCTTGTACCTAGTTATATTATAAAGACATTTACAGAGGGATTTGTAAATATATTATTCCTAGCCTGATTTATATAACATTTTATTTCCAAAAAACATGGCGAAAATCATTTTTTTAAGGCTACTGACAGTATGATTTACAGGATAACAAAAGTAGATATCCATAAATCCCTCTGCAATTTTTTTCTCATCTAATATGTGAACACGATGAAAGAATAATTTTCAATCTGGCTTTATCCAATACTCAGATTTAGTTTTTTTTTAAATATATGCAAATTAGTGCATATTTAATTAGATAATGCCTCATTTGCATATTAAAACATTAAATTACACAAAACTCGTAATATATATTTTTTTTCTCATCTTAATGTAGGTAATCAACTGGGAAAGTTTCATTACCCTATTCACCCGTAGTGTCTCGCCTTAATTAAAAAATCTTAAATTGCATGATTACCAACCAGTCTTTGGAAAACGGAATTAAAATTAAATCATAAAAAAAAATTAGACATATTTCATTATTTTGCATGTATAATTATTATTATTTTATAAATATAAATTATTTTAATTATTTAAAAAAATTGTATAAAAATATTGATAAAATATTAAAGTGCATATAAAATATATAACTATAAAATTTGTATATGGTTAAAAGTAGAAAGTAAATGTTTTTTGCAGGCATCCTAGTTTGAAAACCCCCGTCTTAAACCAATTCCTAGAGCAGAGAGTTTGGTACCTGGCCCCATTGCTTATATTGAGTGCTGTTCTCTGATCAGTTTGGCGTTTTTGACAGAAAACTCGCGTAAACGGTCCGTATCTGATCTGAGTGGAGCACTCCGACTTGCTTGGTGAGTTGAGGCGTTGTTGATCAAAACATCATTCCCAGCTTTCATGTTTCCATGTGCTACAAGAGTAGACCAAAAGATCTCTCTTGAAGACTTAATGGCATGGTTTAGAAAAAGAAAACAAACATAATAAATAAGACAGACATGGAATTATGGGATGGATCCATCTCCTTTTCCAAAAAAAGTAACGAAAAACGTGCAGGACTCCATGCACTTTAATGCTAGCCCGCCAGCAGCGTTTGTCCGATGCCATGAAGTCGAGCAGAAGGCCAGGCTGGGCGCTTCTCTCCCAGCCCGCCGGCCGGCCATGCCACACCACGCACCCAACACCCAGTGCTGGAGGTGAGGGAGGGGAAGGAGGGAGGACAACAAGAGGTGGAGAAGCGGGTACTGAAGACCTTACCGGGGCTTCTGACCCATCAACATGAGAAACCCGTCGTACAGCAGGGCAGGGAGGGTGTGACTCACTGTGGTCCAGTACTGATTGGTAAAAGGGTTGGATCGCAGGTTAACATTGGGGCGTCTGAAAGCCTGTTCTAAGGGGTTGGTCTTGAACGTCATGTTTATGCAGTACTCTGCGAAAAGGAATACAGGCATACAACATACAAGAGCATTTTAAACACAGAGCTACACACACACACGGCTAAGCACACACACGTGGACGGGAAGCGTGCAGAACCCAGTCTCCGAGTGGGTTATGCATCCTTGCCCAAGACGAGGAGAACGACACGTGATGGCTAGACCGAGCGTGGAGGAGGAAGCGTGGGGGAGGGAGCGGGTCGAAGCGGTCGGATTTACCTGGGCTCTCTTCCTGACATCCTGAGGAAGAGATCATATAGGAATGCTGGCGCCTTGTGGCTTACAGCAATCCAGTACTGATTGATAAGGTGATTGGTTGTGAGATTAACATTTGGCCGCCTGAAGGCCTGCTCGAGGGGGTTCCTCTTGAAAGTAGATGTAACATGGTACTCTAAGAGACAAAAACGGTTTAACAGTAAACGGCACAGGTGCGCATGACTTGGTTCAGAGTTAAAAAGCAACACGGTCATTTAATTAGCATAGTATAAGGGATCCTTTTTAAAGTATCATCCCATCCATATATGGTCAAATTCATCTTAGTGAGTAGCCAGGGCTCAACAATGACGAGAGTGTTTTGGTCCAGTTAATAGAACTGTCATTTATTTTAAATTAATCACAAAAAAGTTACATTTTTTTTATAAATAATCATATTTATACATAATAAATAATTATATTAATAATCAATAATATAAATATATGTATATGTAATATAGTATGTATATGTATAATATATATTATATTAATATATATATATATATATACACACACACACATACCGAATTGTGTTATAACAGGTTTTGTAAGGAATTATCTTAATTATCTTGATACATAATCATTTTTTTTCTTTTTCTTTTTTTAGTTTGGGCAGTGAACATTTGGGCAGGGCAACAAAATAAATCCGTATTGTTGAGTCCTATGGATTGCTCCAACTGCAACACAATGCTGATTAGAACTATACATTTATTTGAATATTAACTAATTAATTAGGGATGAAATGGTTCCTGTAGAAAATGTGAACAATAGGGGCTTTCGCACCGGAGGAACCTTTTCCTAGTTCCTAGAACTATTGGTGAAAGTACACGGATGGCGGCGCGTTCGCACAGCGGGAACTAGGAACGGTTTTAGTTCTAGGAAGGGTCTAAACCAGCACAATAGGAAATATCAGTGACGTTACTGTATGTGGATTGGCCGAGCGTTTAGGGGTGGGTTTAGGGATCGAGGGTGGAGCTGGGTAGGTTTAGGGATCAGGGGGTGGAGCTAGGTAGGTTTAGGGATCGGGGGTGTAGGTGGGTCGGTTTAGGGATCAGCGGGTGGAGCTGGGTAGGTTTAGGTATATGTAAGGTGGGAGGAGTTGGATCTGGATCCGGCTCCTCCCCGTGGATTTCGTGTTCTGCAGTGAGAACCAGCTCCCCTGGTGGCTAGTTCCTAGTTCCTAGAACTATCCGGTGCGAAAGCCCCTAATATGGTTCAGTACACTCTTGTACCATGGTTCATCTAAAGTCTATAATATCCATTTATATCTGTAAATAGATTTAAATATTTTCAGTCCTACTGAATGTCAGTCATTCATCACAGCGAAAGAATGAGTCAAACCTGTTTTTAGAGATCACTAGAGACATGTTTGTTGTGATAACAGCAACAACGTCACTGAAACATATCCCAACAAAAGCTTAGTGAAAAGGGAATGGACCTAAACATGACACATATCAGAAACTAAGGAGTTCTCACTGAAGCTACGTATTAAATATCATTTTTGAAAACCTTTGGTGTGTGTAATGCTCAATCATCATGGTATTTACTAGTTTTTCTATATTCATACAAAAAAAGGCACATTTTGCTGCAATATGCAGCTAGATTCTTTTTGAAAATAAAAATGTTATAAAAATAGTGTTAAAATATAATTTAACTCAAATAATGACATTAACAGAACTGTTATACCCTTATAATTAACTGATTAATATGGATCAAATTTTTAAAAAAGCATTTAGTAATATAATGCAATAGTACAATCACAAAATATATAACATATTACATAATTTATATATTATATAATTATAGGTATTATATAACATTATTAACCTATTTATTTGCTGAAAATGCTTATGTAAAATAAATTCATTCATGAAATATATATTACTTAATTGTAAATACTTGATGCATTATTACTTGAGACAGTTAAATTATATTTTAAACACTGCTGGTGTCTTAAAATATAAAAAATAAAAATTGTGATTTGGCCAGTGAAAAATTATACTTAACTGATTGGAATGGATTAAATGAATGTGTTCAGCAATAATTTATAATATAATAAATGGACAAAGATTTACTTTGTTACAGCACCACTACACCAATCATAATTCATCTACTAATGGTTATCATTACTAATTTCTCTCCACCCTACTTTACTTTCATGGAAACCTGAAAACAATGAAGTTGTTTAAAAACTTGCATGAATCTCAATTTGAACAAATCCAAGTTAAATCTGTTCCCATAAAAGAGCAAAAGAATTAGCCAGCTAACGCCCATAATATACACGTTCGCATGTTCAAACGTGACACGGTTTTAAAGCTCATTTATTTACCGTGACAATTTCTTCGATTTGCAGTTGGAGAGCAAAAATTAAATGGGAAAATGAAGCACTGAAGGCCAATGAGGGCATTTGAGTCATGCAGTGATTTCTTAGAAAAAGTGATTCATACCAACTTCACCCCAGTGAAAAGGATTGATCCCACCCGTCGTGCAGTTGTACACCAACAAACTTCTCGGCCTGTGATGGAGACAAACGACACTTTCAGAAAACTGGCACCATCTATTCCATGACTTTATTTTCCAGTGATCTGTGTGTGTGAGGGATTTAGTGTGCCTGTTGGTGTTTGTGTGGTTGTCCAACCTGGCGTGCCTCTGCGAACCGGAATACCAGGCAGCGGCCAAAGTTGTGTTTATGACCACGTCGACTGGCACGAGGTCAGCGACAGCGTTATTTGAAGCCCTCATTGTTCGTAGAATCCCCTTTCCTGCCTGCACAACCAAAAAAAAAAAAAAAAAAGCTTTTAACATCAAGTACCAATAAACAAAGATACGAAAGCAGTGAAATGCCACTGCATTTAAAAGAGTAGTTCACTTTTTAAAAAACTTTTGCTGATGATTTACTCACCCCCATGTCATCCAAGATATCCATGTCATTCTTTCTTCAGTCAAAAAGAAATTAAGGTTTTTGATGAAAACATTCCAGGATTTTCTCCATATAATGGACTTCAATGGGAACCAAACGGTTCAAGGTCCAAATGAGAGTTTTAGTGCAAACTGCAAACTGTTCAAAGGGCTTTAAACGATTCCGAGTCAATTCATTCATTTTGTTCGTTGAATGAACCAAATGACTCGAAAAAAGATTCGTTCATTTTTATCAACAAGTTCGAACAGGAGAGTCACGAACGCACATCCCAGAACAGAGCAAGGCGAGCATTATAAAACCTAAACTTTGATTTTTTTTTTTTTAAATGAGCGATCGTATCCCTTCATAAGACCCTTATTCGTCATCTGGAATCGTTTAAAGCACTTAGAACAGTTTGGTTACCAGTAAAGTCCATTATATGGAGAAAAATCCTGGAATGTTATCATCAAAAACCTTAATTTCTATTCTCTAAGAAAGAATGACATGGATATCCTGTATGACATGGGGGTGAGTAAATTATCAGCAAAAGTTTCATCAAAACTATTCATTTAAATCAGCTTAAAGTGAGTACTCACAGCGATGAATATCCCGCTAGGCCCATTGAAATTATCAATCCAGCCCTAGGACAGAGTGGGAAAGAAAGAGTGGGTTCAAAATCCAGGCAGTATGTTTTAATGATGTTTGAGAATGTAAATGAGCATATTTACGGGGAACGGTTCCTTCCAGCTGGCTCCCACTATAGAGGGCCTGACGATGGCGATATTGAGGTTTCCAGACTCCTGCTGGACGAGGTGCTCCGCCAAGGCTTTAGTGAACGTGTATGTGTTAGGCCGCTCACCTAACAACTTTGGCGTTATTAAAGAGACAAGTTTGTCGTCCATCCACCTGTCAGTATCGTACAAATCCAGGAGGTTGAGGGAAAGCAAAAGAAGAGTTGCATCTAGTTAATCAAGCTTGAAAAAGCATTGTGTGTTACTTTGTCATTTCTGTTCTTGAATTTTATTTGCTGTTGTGTCGGTAATCTTTTTAAGCTTTTATTAGCAACATATTTTTGGGGGGTATAAGATTGAAGGATCCACATACAAGAAGAGTGTTTTGTAAAGACTTACTCCAGTGTGTCTATAAGCTTCCTGTATTCGACAGGTGGTGGATAGACCACCTCTTCGATGAGCTCTCGGTCGCAGTGGGCGTAGGCTGTGGACACGTGGATAAACACATCCAAATGTTTCATACTGTGAGCCAAACTAACCATCTTCTGCGTGGCCAGCACATTTAACTGCATGGCATCTCTGCAGCAAAGGGGACAGAAAAAACACAAACACTGAATTCCAGTGACACTGCAGAAACATGAGGTTTTGAATATACAGATGTGAAGATAAACCTGCAGCGATTTCTGTAAAACCACGATTTGACAACTTTCAGTCTTTCAACTTACTGAGTTATCCGAATAAATCACTGTTAAGCAAATATATACAGTGTTACAAATGTATAAACATGGCATATAGAATTTCCAGTTTCGCTTTATTTTAATTGGCCAGTACAGATTGGATCTGATAAAATGCCACAGTGACAGAAGAATTTGGGTAGAAATATATTACCAATGGAAAATATTAAAATAATAAATTATTATTTAGCATCAAGCATCACTGATATTATTTAACATGCACTATAAAAATGAATGACTGAATTTGTTAAATCTAATCAATAAAATTGAGGCAACAGATTACAATCATTATTAATTAAATATAACAAATTAAATTGAGTAATAATTAACCAAATGAATTACTTAAAAGTTAACCATTTAAAATAAGAAGAATTTAGACTTAAAAAAAAAAATTAAGAACTTTTTTTTATTGTCATCATTGAAGACACCTGATGATAACAAGCAGAATCACTGAAGGAGAAACCCGTAATTTTTAAGTCACCATTATGGTGATCAGTGTGTGTGTGTTAGATGGTCTCTTGACCCTTAAATCATTAACTTTAAATGTTGTTTGCCTGTTATACGTGAATTATAACAGCCATATGAACAAATAGATAAAAAAACAATAATGACAATAATGAACATGTCTTATAATTACTAATATTATTACTGCTAGTACTAATAATAATATAATTATAAATTTGTAATTATTATAAATACAATAATCGTAGTATTGTATAAATATTATTATTATTATCAAATTGTTTATATATAAGCTACTCATTTATTATGAATGCTATTACTGATAATTATTTATTTATTATTAGTATTAGTATTAATATAGTGCTTAATGTGTATTATAATTATATAATAAATTGATTGTCATTATTAATTAATATATCAATTATTTAAAAAGAAATAAAAATAATATTTATTATTATTTTTGTTGTTAATGTAAATACATTTATTGCATTATAAGCTATAACGGTGTTGTGTAAACAGTCCCCTAGTCGCTTCCTGTGATGTACTCGCCTAAATAATCAGAAGCATCTAAACTTGTAGCAGTAGATTTGTGGCGTCCTGTGGCTGGAGATTACGGCTTACTTCAGAGGCTCGTTGAAGCGGATAGTGGCAGCGCAGTGAAACACGACGTTCACGCAGCCCGTTAGGGTCTCCTTGTCGTCCGTGCTCAGATCCAGATCTGGTTGCGTCAGGTCGCTGTTGACTGCAACGATCTTCTCTCCGAAATCAGGCTGCTCCTCCCGCAGTCTGTCAAAAAGCTGAAACATTTAAAGACTCAAGATCACTTTCACCATAATCACATATCACAGCCTAGCCAAGCACTACAGCAAACACATGCATTTCTGTCACGCACACCCTGTGAAAATTTTTTATCAACATAGCCTAGATATGGCCAGATGTGCTTTGTGCTTCTAATAACACTGTGTAAAGAGCAAATAATAACTGTTTACAGAGCAAACAGAGAGAGAGATCAGACTTATCAGAGCAATCATTCAAAGCATCCATGCAAATCTACATGCTGATGTCACATACATAGTGCATCTGCAGCTTAGTCATTAATCCATACTTTTAAACATAAAGAAGTGAGCAAATGACATATGCTTTAGTTTAGGAATTGATTTCAACTACATTAAGAAAGAAATCAGATGCTGAAAACTCTTCTTATGCTGCTGGGAAAACTATCCTCATCATTTTTTCCAAGGAGAAAAAGAAACATATACATACATACATATAAATAAATAACTGCCAATAATTAATTCAAAATGAATGTAAATACCACAAATATTAAGGGACTGATCTATTTACCAAGTTAACTAATGTTACTGTTAATAGCATGACTAATTTCACGATCCCTCCTTGTTTTACAAAAATTTTCATGATCATAATGATACATGATGTATCATGATGATGATAATGTATCATGCTATCGTGTTTTTTTATACAAATATGAGGTAAATGGATTACTGAACATCAATGTAATTCAAAAAAATTACCATGCATTACAGCATGACAAAAAATACAAACCAGTTGTCAGCATAACAAATAATTACAGCTGTTATAGTTACCTAAAATTAAAATTATTAAAAACCATTTTCAGTCATTGAAATAGAGCTGAAATATATATTTTTTACAATATTAGATGACAATGTAGCTAAACAAAATGTAGCTAAACAACAAAGTCGAAGAAACTGAAGATAATAATAATAATAATAATAACTAAATCAAATAAGAATGACTTTATTTAATGACAAAACATTATATAAAAAATAAAATAAAGGCAAATTCAAAATATGAATAAACACTATAATATATTAGAAATAAAACTAAAATAAGATATTAATAATACTGAAATAACACATACAATTTTAATTTAGTAATTGAAGGCTCTAGTTTTGTTTGATAAACCTAATCTTGGAGTTCAGTTCAATTCATTATCCTCGAACAATTTGCTTGCATGGGTTAGCATAAATCATTGCATAAATATTCCTAAAAATAAGAGCAGTAGAATTGTAATAGATTTAACAAGTTCTAACCGTACTTTGCTTTTTGAATTAAACATTTTGACTGCCTAGTTGAAATATTTGTTCACTTAATAAAAAAACAATTCAGTTCAAAAGCTGAAAAACATAGACTTATTTTCTACATCACCTTGTTTTATGCCAAATGTATAACTGAACAGAGTAAAATTAAAATATATCAAAACACCCGAATTGGGAAACCAAAGCAAGGTCCCCAACCATCTTACTCACCTTGCAGTTGATCATGTCAGAGATACGGGTATGAGGTGCCTGTCCCGCTTTGGGCCGGACAAGCACATAGGCAGCTTTGACACCGGGACAGGAGCGTAGCAGCTTCTCCAGAAGTACTTTCCCCATGAAGCCTGTAGCCCCTGTGATGAGAACATTTTTCCCCTCGTAGTACTCTGGAATGGTGACCATCTTGAGTGCACCTTCCCTCCTCTGTTACACTCCTGAAAAAGACCAAGAGAAACATTGTCACACGGTATCACACTGCAAATATGCACACATTTCACAAGGGACCTCGGCCAAATAGAGAACTGTAAAGAACCTCAAAGCCGTTGATTTAGAAATCGTGCCGTTTCACTAGTCTGCGGTAAATATTTCCTGAGGTCACTTCCTTCCTTCCTGCCCAGATCTCAGTCCACAATTTCTGCAGGACACTAAAGGCTTAACCGCCTGAGACTTTAGTAAAAAAAATCTGTGATACTTACTAAAGAGGCGGCGTTGTATTACCCTTCAGGACCGCAGCTGGATCAATAAAAGTGCTCCTAAATGGCCTTTAGGTGTGTATCGAACGAAAATGTTTTACATTTCACTAATTGATTGGACAAATTGAATGGTGTAGTAAATCACAACAAAATACACACATTTATTATTCTTATCTATTCTTATCGCTTGTCCACTGATAACAAGCTAATACAGCTCATCCACAGCAGATACTGGGTTAATATGTAATCAAAGATCTATGAAGAATTTCCTACTTCAGATTTCTTCTTGCCCAGCCAAAGTAATCACATACACTACTGTTTTTTAATGATGGGCTATTAATGTTTTTATTCAACAAGGATGAAACCGATAAAAAGTTACATTAAAGACAAGTAATTTTTAAAATGCATTTCCTCGCATAATGTAGGATTTACATTGAAAACCTCCAAGATAGCCCTAAATCCATAAACATTGGAAAATGAAGGATGATGAGTTTCAGATTGTACTGCAGACTAGATTCATTTTAAAACGTTGGCAAGCCTAAAAACAGTATGTGGGTCAAATCAAATGTAAATGACCCAAAAAATAAAGGATGCAATCTAATCTCACTCAGTGTTTGATCAGAACAAGGCTCACTTTAACAGATTATAAAACAAATTTCAACTTAAAGTGTTTGTGCGCCCCTAAAATTTCATTTTAGTCAACTTGACAGCTTGGATGTTTAAGTTGACTATCACTGTAAAAAAATATGGTTGGTTTAACTTAAAAAAGTAAGTAACCTGGTTGCCTTAAAATTTTAAGTTCATTGAACTGGAAAAAGTGAGTTAATACAATGAAGGAGAATGATTTAATCATCAGAAACTCAAAATTATATGTTATCTGAACAAAATAAATTATTTAAGTTGATTTGACAAAAGAAAAAAAAATGCTGTGATTACTAATTTTTTTTACAGTGTAAATGTAACTTTAAAGTAGAATGAACATTTAGTTTATTAACTCTTTCCCCGCCATTTCCGGTAAAGGATGCTTTTACACATCTTCTGAAAGAGTATCGAATCTCCTGTTTAAAACAGAGACGAATAAGAAGCAGAAACAAGCGTTATCAAGCATGCAAATGTAATATAATGCGATCATCAACATTAAACGGCATATAAATCAAAACTGCCCAATGTTACTGAATGAAATGTTGACCCAGGACGAGGTACAGGACTGTGAAGCTTTGAGGGTTGATGGACTCCATCTACTCCATCTATGTTTTGATCATTACATTCTGTATCTGATGCGATCTGGATGTCAGATTTTTGCAAAAAATCTTCAATTATTCAATAAAAAAAGCATTGCATGAAGCTAGAAAACAATGCTTTTGTTTGTTTAAAAGCAGAGAGTCTGTTCTTTCTTTTGACATAGTGAATGTTCAGATATTCATACAACAGATTTGTGACCTTTTGTGAAAAAACGCTGGTGGGCGTTAAATTTTTAATAATTTAAAAAAAAATTATTAAGAGTGCATAATATGTTGGTTTGAACCAATATATGTTGTTTCAATCTCAGCCTGCCACTTTCTTCCTAATGTGTCCAGCCACATCATACGATCCTTTCTGTAAACAGGCCACTCAGTATAAAAACTTCCCGCTGGCCATGTGCTGCTTTGTTTGCTGCATAACACCGGTGCCAAGTTCCACAGCTGCATGCACCCCAGAGTCTGACACTGTATGGCAGCAAATCCTGGGTTCTTTCCAGATTTGCAGGGCATAATCTGCATCAGATTATGAGTCTTTCAAAGGGGGTCATATAATGGTACATGCACTTTTACAAGTTGATGGTTTGATTGTACTAAAACATGTGTTGGCAGTCCATTTACACAACCATCATATAATGATAAAAATACATCCAGTGTTTTTGTTTTAATCTCCTTATACGTTTTCCTGCTCAAATAAGGCCGTTTGACTTTGTGACGTCACACAGTCGGACACCCCTCCCACGATTGTTGATTGACAGCTGTGTTTCATCACAGACCCGCATTGAGTGAGGTGTCGTCATTAGGGCTGTTGGAACGAATTTCGAAATTCGAATATTTAAAAAAAAATCAATACTAATCGAATGCTAAAGTTACTATTCGAATATTGCTTTTATATATACTTAAAAATAAATATATACTTCCGAAGTGACCAGGAGTAAAAGGCCCCTTTAGATCGCTTTCTTATTAACAATAGGAGAGCGCGGGACTAGCTTTCGCGTGGCACATTCGCAAGGTCTCGTTCACCCCCTGCCATGCACGCGCCGCCCGCTATGCATGTTATGCATGGATTCCGGGAGATTTTAACTAAATTGCGGCCATCAGGGAGACGCTATCAATATGCGGGAGACTCCCGGAACTTCCGACGCGATATGACGATCACATCACCTCAGATCTGAGCCCCTATTCATCAAACCAACACGCCGCAATCTATCGCAAATCGAAGTGAAAGTAAGTCGCAGACGCTTAACACTACCATCTTCATTAAAAGTAAAGAAATTAAATGATCTTACCAGGGCTGTTGCCGCTCTCCCTTATTGCAGTCTTTGCTGATTTTGAAATTAGCAGATGATCAATAAAATGCAGCTCAAATCTGTTGCTTTCGGTGACGTGCACTCCATTAAATCTGTATTTAGCGCGGGAATTGAAGATCGGATTTATCTTGATCTTTTTTGCAAAAACACATTTATGTGACCAGGTGTAAATGGAATCGTTTTGATAAATCAGATAGCTATCCGATCTGAGAAAACGCATGAAGTGGCCAGGTGTAAACAACCCCTAAATGTTTATTGTAATAATGTTAGATGTTCCTCTAGTGGGCCGAACGTGTAACAACAACCACAGGCTGTAGTGGCATTGACGATCCAGAAGAATCTGTAATGTCGTAAATATTAATAATGGGACAAATTTGAGCATTTAATATTCAAATATTAAAGGGTTAGTTCACCCAAAAATGAAAATTAAGTCATTAATTACTCACCCCCATGCTGTACCAACCCCGTAAGACCTTCGTTCGTCTTCGGAACACAAATGAAGATATTTTTGATTAAATTTGAGAGCTGTATAACTACCACATTGGCTCCTAAGGGACTGCCTCTTGACGGCCCAAAAAGTCAATGAAGAAAATGTTTAAATATCCCAAGTGACTACCGTGGCTCAACTATATGTTTATCAAGCGACGCGAATACTTTTTGTGCGAAAAAACAAACAAAAATAACGAGTTTATTCGACTATTTCTTGTCTTCCTTGTAGGCCAGAACGAGACTTCCTTATAGATTTCCACGACGCATGCGCGAGATTTGCGATCTGCTCACACCAGCTTCACTACTTCAGATCGCAATTCTCGCGCATGCGTCGTGGAAATCTATAAGGAAGTCTCGTTCTGGCCTACAAGGAAGAAAAGAAATAGTCGAATAAACTCGTTATTTTTGTTTGTTTTTTCGCACAAAAAGTATTCTCGTCGCTTGATAAACTTATAGTTGAGCCACGGTAGTCACTTGGGATATTTAAACATTTTCTTCATTGACTTTCTGGGCCGTCAAGAGGCAGTCCCTTAGGAGCCAATGTGGTAGTTATACAGCTCTCAAATTTAATCAAAAATATCTTCATTTGTGTTCCGAAGACGAACGAAGGTCTTACGGGGTTGGTACAGCATGGGGGTGAGTAATTAATGACTTAATTTTCATTTTTGGGTGAACTAACCCTTTAATCGAATATTACATAAAATAAGGAATGGAATTCGAATAGTATTATAGAGGACGATTGACAGCCCTAGTTGTCATAGTCCGTCATTGTTGATACGCTGGAGCAGAATGGCGTCGAAGCAGTTGTGGTGTTCGGTTCTTTCTTAGGTGTAATAACGAACACAGCAGTCATTTTGATGTTCCTAAATCCGAACCACTGAAGACGTAGTGGCTAAGTTTTGTTTTCGAAGGAATTCCCCACGATCAACGTCAATGCGCTCATGTTTGCGCGAATCATTTCTCACCAGACTGCTTTACGAGGGTCAGTGAGCTGGTTTTGCTATGAAGCTGCTCCTGAAAAAAGAATCGGTACCAACTATTTATGTTCCCTCTGCACCTCCAGAAGAAGTGTAAAGTTTTATTAACCTTTATATTAATCTTTGCAAATTGCGGAAAAATGTTTTTCATGACCATTAGTTGTAACGTCAATCTGTCAATGAACTAACGTATCAGTAAAATGGCGTTCGTATCTCACTTGCCAGTGCATACAAAAAATAGATTTTTAGAAAGTGATAAAAAGAAAAAAATAGAAAGTGACATTACGTTAACCAACTATTCAGAAATGTCCAGTTTGAGCCCTAATGGGCTCTATGCACAGCGGTATTTCCGGTGAAGGTCTAAGGATGCTGGATTACTTCCGCCGATCGTAGAATCCAATGCTATACCGAGAATTTATATTGGATTTTATACTCTATGGTTATACTAAAGGAACGTTAAATCACAAAAACAGACAAAACAGACACCCCTCGTTGTGTTTACGCTTCTTTTTAAAATTATATTAAATAAACTATAACTATATATAAAATTACATTTAAACGTATTAAAGTTTCGTTTCAATGACGGGAAGATTGTAAATTTGGAAGACTCTGCCATAATCCCGTTTTCCTCGGTTTTCCTCCGCTTTAAATCTCCTCAACCGGAAACTTCGGAACATCCTTGCGTCAAATGCGGAATCGTTGTCGAACTTCGTTGCGGCCTTCATCTT